ATCTGCTTCTGGATCGACCGATCGGTAACGAGAACACCGATAATACCACGTCCCTCTCTATCTATGGTTCCAGGGAGAAAAAAAAAAAAAAAAAGAAAAAAAACATTCCAGCCTGCTGCTAACCACTCTGGAATCCTATTAATAGAGCCACTCGCCAGGCGTTTATTTACACCCGTAGGTTCCCGCCTAGATCCACCACGACCAGTCTATTAAATAGTGATGGTCGTCCAATATTATCTGAACATAAGCCGCTTATCCCGTGGGAGGGTGTTAATTAATTTTTTTCCTATCCGCGTCCGCGTAAACACGTCGAGAATCGATCTCTCGTTGGTGCTTGGCTTCCTGGCTGGGAAGACAGGTCGGTGTTACACTCTTGCTAATGCGCGGCAAAAACAGCGGCGCGAGATAACGCTGTGTGTTAGTAAATCTAGGCGAGTTTTATCTCGAGAGGGGAGAGGAGAGGGGGGGAAAAAAGTGAAAAGAACGAAATTCCTCGCGATATTTGTCTGGTCGAGGCCTGATAACGTCGAGTAACCGCCGTTAGATCGGTGTGTGTCGTTTCAAGGATCTGTTTTGCACGGCCGTTTTGCACGTACTTTGCACGGCCTTCTAAGAGTGGGTACAGTGTGCGGGTAACGGGATCGTTGAAATGGTATGTGCGGGGGAGAGAAATGTGAACAGTTGTGAATAAATTGAGCAGTTGGGAATGTTGGTTGCTGGAGTAGGAAAATCACTTCATTATCGCGGTGGTGAGAACGGTTGGTTTCGTGAGGTTTTTTATTTTAGATATTAATAATTATGTCAAGTGATCCTTGACCCTCGTCTAATAATTTTATTAATTGTATCTTATAATGAATTTATTTTTTCTTTTAATTTGTTTTGCTTGGTGTTTAAAGAAGAATTCTCACTTCGTATTAAAAAAAAAAAAAACTCTTGGAATAAGTTATCAAAAGGAAAAGTTAAATCTCTTACTATATAAAAGTGAATGTATAATACGAGGAGGATGAGTAGGATATTCGTTTTCCCTTCATATGATTCCACTTTTTAATTAACAGAAAACATTCGACTTGTTAAGAGAAGCGTTTTATTGCCCTCACAAAGCATTCTTTAATCGGAACTCTCGTAAAATCAATTCACCGTATAAAAAGACCACTCGATTCAACCGTATGCACTTCACTAAATATTGAAAGGAAAAAGTTGAAAGACAAGGAAAGTGTTATGTCCATAACACCCGTCACTCTGAACGGATCCGATTTCCCAACAATCTTCCATTCGTGTATCGATCGAACAAATTCTGGAATCGATAAAAGCATTTCAAGAAACATTTTCCCTTTCATATCTATAAAAAACTTTCCATTCAAATCGCGTTACACAGGAGACGTCTTTTTCACTTCATTCACTTTTCCATCCAATTTTCGAGACAAAAGACAATCCTTGAACGAATCATGCGTATACAATCAATTGAAGATCCCCCCATGCGAGAAGCAAATACAATTTTACCATATAATACATTCTCCACGTTCAATTGACGGTTTCCACGTGACTCGTCCGCCATCGAAGAACCGCGTGGCGCGCGATCTCGCGGCGGTTGGAATAATAATCGGCTTTTAACGCGTGTCGCGGTGCCACTGAACGCCACCGTCCAACCTCGAGATCTTATTATGACGGTATTCCATCGTTTCGACGCTCGATGAATAAACTCGTTGTCCCCTTCCATTTCGAGCGATCTTCCTTTTCTTCTTCGCAAAGAAACGAGAGTGACGAAAAACGGCGAAGAAGAAGAAGGAGCAAAGAGAAAAGACGAGAAAAGTAATGAAAGAAAGAGGACGAGTGCAGGAGGTGGAGAAGGTGGAGGTAGGTGGAAAAAAGGTGGCCCTCTGAGACTGGTCGCCGGAAGAGAGAAGCTCCGACGGACCTCAGTCTTCGGTACTTATCTTCCCCTCGCAATCGGTGCAATATATTCAGGGTGCAAAGCGTCGTTGTCGTTCGGTGAATGGACGTTTTCACTTAAAGTCGCGTTCACTCGGCTCGGACAAAGGGATCATTACCCGAGCACCGGGTTCAGGAGAAAGCGAGCACGCCGTGGCGGACACTTAAATACGCGGAATTCACGCCCCGATCACGTGAATACGGAAGCGCCGCGCCACGTTGACAAAGCGCACCCCGTGCCCCACCGAGCGTCCCCCCAATTAAGGTAGCCCAATTCCGAAATACCTCTACGCGCCCCTCCATCTTCCCTCTCCCGTTTTTTTCCACGAGCACAGAAACGCACGACGTTCACGTTCAGCCCGGGACACGGAGAAAAAGCGCGCCGCTTTGTCATTGCGCCGCCTTAATTAAGACGTGCGCGCTCTCCGAACTTCTTCGTAGTCACCGGTAACTTCTTCTTGTTTCTTATGCCGTTCTTCTCGTTCATCTCTCTCCCGACGAAACGTAGAAAATGAAGATACGATCTCTCGAAGAGGCTACCGGTTCGATCGGTGAGGTTAGATTTATCGGCGTGCCGAGCAGGCTCGATAGATGGCGCTGAGGATCACCTGCTATTCTTACGATAAATTGTCGAGGTTAGTTCATTAGTCACAAGGATAATGGATCCATTAAAGGATGTTGCGAATATTTGACGATGAATTAAAATGTTTGATATTGAGGCGTAATAGTGGAATCATGGGAAATTGCAATGATGGATAGGGAGAAATACTTGGAAAAGTGCATCTTGAGCAATCGGAAATTAAATGTATATGAAATGGCGATTAAACTCGCGTAAGATGTTATTAAAGGGAAAATTTGCGAGTAAATCAATCAAAGCTGGATACCAAGCATTAACTAATACATCATGAGATTGTTACCACATGAGTAAATTTCATAATAATCGTTTATTTATAATTTTTTTAATTAATTAAGGCGGTGCAATTTAAAAAAATATATATATAACTCCTCTGTTTGTCATTATATACAATTTATCATATTTTCGTCCTAACGTTGTTAAAAAGATGAAAAAATATTTAAAATTCCATTCTCACGAATCATTTTTTTGCTTTCAGCATAATTTAATATCACAAAGTTATATCATTAAGTAAAATAGAATGTTTTTTAAAGAAATCAAATTTATCAAAGAAATTGTTCACAGTCTCATTAATAATATTTCGTCCTTACGTCATACTAAATATTTATTAATCAAGAAAATAACTGAACGCATTCACTTCAATAATACTTTTATGAAAAAAAATCTGAAATTATTAATTTACTTCTTAAGCCTTGCACAAACTAATCATGAGAAGAAATGATATTGGAAGAATTTTTAAGAAATTTAAATTTGAATACCAAACATGCACAATGCATTATTGCCAATCAACGAATTTCAATAATCGTGTTTTCAAATAGAATTCCACGATGTATCAACGTGAAGAATATTCTTAGATCCCAGAAGAAATTATTCACGTAGACGAAGAGATCTCTTTCAGACATTCTCTGACACATGTGTTCAGGTATACACAAAACAGGTATCCAACAAACAAACAAGAGTTGAAGTGCGATGATGACGTTTGTAAGATCCTTTGCAATTTCCTTTGATGTCAAATTTCTTATTACACATCACAATGCTATCTTGGAACGGTATAAGTTTGAATCTTTTCGCGAGTCTCAATTTATCTTCTCCATTGCAACAGAGCTGCTACTCGTTCTTGTTTCGGTAGGTACCCGCTACGTACGATAAATTAATATTACGGAGAATATATTTCAGGCGAGGATGTGTCGCAACAGACAGTTTAACTCGAGAGAATATTGTGAAACGTAATTCCTGCGTATAAGAGGAACAGCGAGCATATTGTATTATACATAACATGTTTTTGAAGCGTGTCGTGTGATTACAAATGACTAATTGTATTCGGTTGTACTAGTTGATGGCTGTCTCTTTGATATTCTTTGTTGACAGATTCAGACACACGTTTGTTTCAACATCTATAGAAAATAACACTGGGTGTTGATTAGATGTTTTAGAAAGGCGACAAATTGGTAGTATATTCTCTTCAGCAGATTGAATTGAAGAAAAAATTGTAGATGAGAACAGGATTTTCACAAAAAAATTTCAATTATTAAATCTTGCAAGTATAAACATGAAATAATAAATTATTATAATGCTGAAAAGGGACAACTATAAGGAAAGTATTTCCTTCTTTTGCTTAATGATATTTATAGATGAGATATATCTGACTAAATATTGCTTAAATATTGTCTATTTTTGTATTGAATCTATATATCAGAAATAATAAATCAAATTTACATTCTTTCAAAGAAAATTATAGCTTTATATATTAAAAATAAAGCACTCAAATATTCATGTACATTTTTTATTAAAAATGCCTTATGAGATAAGAAATTGTTAATGTAATTAAAAATTTGGAACAATAATTACAATATAAAACACAAAATAATCAGTTATTATAGTACAAATCTAAAGACAATGCAAAAACAATTGATATTTACAAAATCATGTGATATTTTGTAAATATACAATTATATTATGCTAAATATGAATGTTTATTTTTGCATTGATACTATTAAAAGCAATAAATCAGAATTATATTCTTTCTAAGAACATTTTAGCTTTACAAAATAGTTTGTAAAGCTAAGCAAACTACTAAACAAACTATTCTCTTAAATATCCAAATATTATACTTTAGATGTCTTGTGAGATAAAAAATTTTCAATTATTCAATCTGTCAAATAATTTAAGACAATAAGTACAGCATAAATAAAAACAGAATGATCAATTATTATAGTATAAGCTTGGAAAGAAACAATGCACAAGCAACTTTCTTTCTAAGATTATTGATATTTATAGATACATCCTAAATATGATCTATTTTTATTGGATCTATCAGAAATAATAACTTAAATATACAAATACATACTATTTTTCAAGAAAATTCTTTATACAATATCCTAAAAGCCAACTAACTTAACCTAACCTCAAATATCCAAATATTTTATCTTAGACTTACTTGCAGATTATCTATCTTGAATATCCAAATATTCCAATTTGGATCCAATTTTCTTTTCCCACAAATATGATTCCAAAAAAGACATTAAAACTATAATAAGCAATCAGGATAATCTTTAACGAAGGATGCACCTTCGCGCAGCCATTACACTCTGCCTGCTGTTTCCCACAGTGAAAAGGCAACCGCGAATCGAATTAATCTCCTGTACTGCGTAATTAACATTATACGTTTGCACGATTACGTGTGACAAGCAGCACGCTATTATTACCTTTTAGACGGTAATCGCGTGATCATTCGCGATACTTCATCGAACGAATAAAACCCGCACTCCTTGTCAATGAACGGCGACACACACGCACACTAACGCAACCATGGCTATTGGCGCATTTCTAATTGGCCACCCGTGGCAATACGGTGTCCCACGAGTCTCCTTTGAAATGTGTATTCTATCTCCTGTCCGGGCGATGTCGCTACGAACGAACGAGTTGATAGGTCAACGCTTGATCAAGTGGTACGTCGCGGTATACACGCAGGGTATCGCCTTGAAATCGATGCGTGTATTCAATTTGCTGTCAGTGGTCATCCATTAACATTTAGCCGCGCATTCCCTGATTGCCGGGGACGTGAAAATAAATGGTAATTTCGCCTGGGTATTAATTTCTCCCTTCTCTGTAAGAACAGTGCGATTTCGTGGATGCGGGTGCGTATAAGCGGCGTTCAATCTCTCAAATTATAGAAACCGCAAGCTGATCTATGAACCGAGTTTCAACGTACAAGCGGAAGCCATGATTCCCTTTATTCTTCCCGCGGATAACGAGACGAAGATGTAATAGAGTTACGCTTCGAGTTGGTAGTGTACACGCGAAACTTGATGGAAAGTTACAAAGGTATGATGAGAATGAGCATTATGTTGGTAGTACTTGATGACAGAGAGTTTGATGTAGGAATATTTTCGTAGTGATTTATCTAAGAAAGAAATATCAGTGTTACAAAAATCAAAGTATACAAAATAATTTCATCTTATTATTCTTTCATAATTAAGGAGATATAAATATAACAAAATTAAATGTTTCTTCTTTTAATGTTTATAAAGATAAATTTTTAATCCTCTTATTCAAAGTTATTCAAACATGAAGCAGAAATATTACAAAAGTAAATAACCATCATTTTATTATTCTCTTATAGTTCAAGATTTGTTAGTATGACAAAAATAAATGTTTCTTCTTTGATTGTTGGTTGAGATAAATTTTTAATCTCCTTGTTCAAAGTAACATACACATAAAGTTAAATAATTACCATTTTGAAATCAGTCAAAACGAAATTATATATCTCTATGCAACTCGCAATTATTAACTGAAAACAAAAACTCTTTCAAGCTGACTGAAACACGGAAGCGTCGAATGATTCAAGTCCATCGTGTTACAGCCGAATGAGAGGAAGAAGAATCACGGATATACCATAGCTGGAACAAGGGGCTCGCATGCGAGCGATGCATGCATCTCGACGAGATCCGTCTGTGGTTTATCGAGGTTCCACGTAGAGCATTGTGGTCGCTGCATAATATTAACATTAGCGGTGATTAGTGGGCTGCCGACCTCCTGATGCTGGCCAATAGCTCTAAACGTTATTCTCCTCTACACGCGACCTTTCCTCCATTAACGAGCTTCCCAACCCGAGGTCGACTCTGATTTTAGGCCCTCCCCCTTTTTCTGTTGTTTCTCAACAAGGATATCGATACCTTATGCGGTAAGTAGTATTTATCTCTCGTTTTCAAAAGTCAAAAGATGAAGAACAAAAATAGATGAGAATATTTTTAATCATTTTATAAAATTTAATTAGCATTTCTGGTTTTTTTAAAAATAGAAATATTTATACAAAATAAAATATTTTAAATTGTTTTATTATTACAATAGTATTCATCAACGTGAGGCATATTCTACATATATGTTACATTCGTAAAAATATTGAGACAATCACCAAAAGTAATAATCACATAAATAAAAATTCGAAAATCCTTTTAATAACTAATTTAATAACTATTTCAACAAATTTGGAAATTCAATTTACATTTACAATTTCCATCTTAATAAATCTCTAATTTTCTCCCTTCGCTTTTCAAATGTGAAACAATTCCGCCGTCAGAACGAAGATTTACATCATATTGTAAAAGTGATCGAGATGCGATATCGCAATCAGATCGTCACGCATATAAGAACGATTAATATTCATTAATATAAAAATGCCAATAAGTATTAGCGAGTATCGTGTCCGCGGATAAGAGTCCACGTTTCTTATGCTAATTACATTATTGACAGCTACGTGGGAGATTTACGAGCGCCTTTTAACGCGTCGTGCTGGACAGCTGGTGAGGCAGTTTGCCGTTTATTTATGCTCGATTTCAGCGTCGATCGTCCGATAGGGTGGAATTTATACGCTTTCAGTATAAACGCGCTTAATGGTCTTGACTAGTTGGACCCGGGAATATATTCGCGTACGATCAACCGGCGGTGTGTCCGTCGTAATTAATTAATTGACTCGTAATTGTCGACGACCATCATCGTTGGCTTTTGAATCGAGCGATAGAAAGCTCTGTCTGATCTTCTTGGATAACGATTCTATCTGAGGGCTGGGCATTCGGTTGAGGTTATGTTAAACGGATTATATTTCATTTAAGGTTAAAATTATGTGAAGTTTATAAAATAGCCGATTTCACGAAGTCATAAAAAGCGGAATTTAATGCTTGAACTTTGTGTTCAATATTATTTATTATATTATATGGATTTTCATTTGGAATTTTTTTGTTAGATTGGAATATTAAGAAAAAAACTTTAAAAATATTTAAAAAATTGCTTTTTTTTTGCTGATGATGTGCAGAGATAGAAGAATCTGAATGCTTTTTTTAAAAGGAAAATTTTTTTACGAATTACGAAAAATATTGAATTTTATATAAAAGAAAGAAAGCTGTATTTGAATAAGAAGACTTTAAAGTTTATTATTGAGTTTTGCATGATAAATCCAGACAGACAGGTTTTATAGTAAGTCCTAATTTCAGTCATCGGTGGTTCGAAATAAATCTTTTATCCCGACATCAAATATTTCTTGATACAGGTGTGCTACATAGACAGTTTTACTAACGAGTTTAACGCACAGGACAAGTCACGCAACTGGAACAAGTTATGTCTCTTCCTTGTGCTTTATAAAGAAAACAAAAAAAAAAAAAACAAAAAAAAAAAAGATAGCAGAGGAAACAGTTGAATGATTTAAAGGAATATATCTTTTTACCTTCCTACTTTCTACATAAATTAATCCTTTGCAACATCTCGGTAAAAAGAGCAGAATAAAATTCCAGATATGCAAATGAGTGTCTCTTTTAACGTATTCGATCATTAAAAATAATAAAAGAAAAATTATTTTACTAATAATAAAGTATAAATACTTGAACATGTTCTTGAAAGATAAAAAGATGTCGCACAAAAAACGTAGGAGTTAATTACGCGTCGAGTATCAAAAAATTTTACCGTTAGAAAAGAAAATATAATTTATTACAGTTCCATAATTTATCATCAATCAATATTCTTAAAACAAGATACTCTAAGATATAAAATCAAACTTGAAATCTTGAAAATATCTTTAAAACATTTTCCAAGATTTCCATTTTCAATATTTCTATGCATGTCGAATGGATCCTACATGAAATCGTAGATATCGCAACTGTGTTATTTGCACATTTCACAATCCATTGATCGTCAAACAAGCATAAACACAATCAAAGACCAATTCACCGTTCACATTACGATCGATATTTTCTCAATTTTTCAATCGATTCGGTACATACATGAAATTACATGAGAATCTAAAATTAAATTTCTTATTTCAACTCGCCAATCCTATCGTATCAAACCCGATCCATTGACTTCCACACCAACTTTATCTTGGTTCGATCCATAATTCCATATTCGGACCATTAAACCTCTCGCACCCCGATCACCTTGCGCTCGTTTTAGAGGCCAGTGACTCGTTTCAGAGCAAGAGACGATCGGCGTGCACTTTGTTCGCCGGTTTTAACTTGCAGACCGGCTTG